AGGCACAACATGAGGTCCACCATAGCCATGGCCACCCTTCCTCTTCCTCTTCATGGAGGTCGAGGCTACGGCGGAGTACTAAGAGCTCTACCCCAAAGGACAACCCAAAGCAGCTATGTCGCTGCGCTCTTGTCCAAGGTCAACACCAGGCAGCTATGCTGCTGCCCATTCGGCCGCCATGCCTGACTCTGTCCCGAGCTTCCTTGATGTCCAGATGCAGCGCCTAACAAGGTGATGAAGATGGTGTCACGATAGCCAGGTAGGTACCTCGCCACTCTCCTCCTTGGTCCTCTTCTGACTTCCAGGCTGCTCGGCCTCCCAAGCAATCGGTACCTCCTCCCTTTCAGAGGGCAACATCATTGCAGACTCTGATATTGCCCGTACAGGCCGTAGACTCAGACTGGATGGATTGGTACCCAGCTAGACCTAGCCTACCGCTACTGGGCCTCTAAAAATGCCAACTTTGTCTTCTTCTGCTCGGCCTCGAGTACCCGGCACATCTAATTCTACAAGGTGCGGTACCGGCCTGCCTGCTACTTCAAGTTGAGTGTTTATTCCGCTGCTCTAAGTGTCGCGGGCCTCTGGCTCCGCCACTTGAGTGTTTTCCCTGCTGCAGCCCTCAATGTCACGGCCACAGGTAAGTACCGGCCCTCGGGGCCTCCCAAACAAGCAAGTACCCTTGCGGGTCACACACACAGTCATGCCGACAAGCACTCAGACAGGCACGCAGGTCACCAAGCACGCACACACACACACTTCGAAAACTCAGCAGAATGCGGGAATCTCAGCAAGGCATCCATTCCATTGGCAGAACTCTGAAATCAGCAGTGTTCTCAGTCTGTGTTATGGCGGGTCATTACAAAAACAAATACAAAAACAAAAACAAAAACAAGGCAGAAAGTGAATTCGTCTTACTTCGTAATATTTCCACCGAAGGATTTAAAACGACACACATCCCGACCGCTGGATACTTATACAGCGACAAAAGAAAAAGAGCAGAAAACCTAAAGACGAATTTCACGAGAAAGGAAGTCAGAACGAGAAAACCGGACAACTCACCTGAATACTCCAGTAGATATATCAACGCATAACTTTTTGGAGGATGAATTGTCGAAGGATTTGGTGACCAGATGGAAATCGGACGGCAAAGCAAGAGAGGAGCACGGAAGAGCCGAAATCCAATACTCGAAATACCCATCGGGGGGCGGATTATTCAGCGGATATAAGGACACACAAATTTTCCAAGGATGTTTCCGCAACCAAGAGAAATTCGGGACGGCAGAAGGCAGGAGCGGCGACGAGCATACAATGATGAAAGGAGACTGCAGGGACTGGGGAAGTCACGTAGGGAAGTATTCGAACCGAAGGTATATATACTGTGGATAATGGCTGAAAGGATTACCTGAGCAGAGAGGTAGAAGGGTAATGGCGACTTTGCGAGTCGCATGCCATGGACAGGACGTGTATTCTGTGAAAGTAAAGCCTGGAACGTGTTGTCCAATTTTACAAGTCTCTCTCTCTCTCTCTCTCTCTCTCTCTCTCTCTCTCTCTCTCTCTCTCTCTCTCTCTCTCTCTCTCTCT